TCTCCAAAAAATATAAATATGATTAGTTTTGTTTCCTTACATCTTCAATCATGACGAGATATATTCCCTATATCCCAATTCGTGAAATACGAAGAAAGAAGCAACCTAATTGCTTCATTTTATATCGTAAATGGCTTGCTACGCGATCACTCCAGCTGCATCATACATTTGGAAGCGGATGTCTGAGAAAGAAAAAATAAATGGAGAGCATTATATGTTCGTAATGCTGATGACTAAAATCCGATTTTCTTAAGAAGGCCATTTTAAGATAAATTTATAAATCAAAATTTCTTGGATTTTTGTCCTGTTTCCTTTGAATTATTATCCTAATTACCATTATTCAATTGTAATCTAGATAAAAAGCCAAGTTTTATAATTTGCCGCATGAGCAAATTTATTATATTTCAATATATGAGTTTTAGTTAAAAATTATACAATTTAATAAGTTTGTTGTAAAGTAAATTTTTCTAATATTATATACATTAATCGTTTATGTTATAATATAATCTATGTTTAATGATCTAAATCTTCTATAAGTATTATAAGTATCTTACGCAGCTGCAAATGTATCTTTCTTATACGTGTACGACATACTATCTTATACGACCTATATTATGTGACATACACGTCGTATAAGAACATAGCACCTGATCGTATAAGAACGATACATTTGCTACGCAGCTACTGCTTTGTATCAAATTATCATATGAAACTTACTAATTTGTTAGGATTATTCCTAGTTCGGACACAATAAATTGATTAATTTAGAATATGACATGTTACAATCGTTACATTGACATTTGTACGAAATAAATTTTTTATTCCACACAAGCACACAAGTAAATAAGAGATGGGACGAAATTTGATCAACATTTTCACAAAAAAACGATTTGTCAATAATTTCAAAAATCATTATCTTTATTTAAATTTTACTACGGAATCTAAAATCTTTCTTAGGAAAAAATTTGATTTCCGGTACTCCGATAAAAGATTAATGAAAGCGTTCAACCTAAATTAACCAATATAACCAGTTTCCGCGTTTATAGTTTGAAATTAATATTGTTCATAATATGCAGTGTTACTCATTAATCATTATCGTTCAAATTTGTACTTCGTCCGTTAACATTAATATTCCCATCCTATTCTGAAAAATAAAGGTTTCTTATCTGATAAAACTCCTAAAATGTATTTTCATAGTATCCCAATTTTATTTGTAAAAATATTTCATGTAAATTATTAGTATCTTAAATTAGATATCACAATTCATTATATGGAAATAATGAATCAAAGACAGATGAGTTTAACGGTATTTACCTGTATTCTATAATTAGTTCGGTTATTATATACTGTATATACCGGTATCTTAATATTGTAAATTGTAATATGGTTCGCTTAATAATAAGAATGGTAAATTGGTAATGCGATTACATAAATAATAATTATAAATGATTGATACCTGGATTTTTCATAAAAAATTTGCCTTGAAATAAAATAGTATTAAAATTCTACGAAAATCTGAACAAAATCAAAAATATTGATCGCAGAGGCAGGCGATCCATATCCTCCTACGTGACTGCATGCTTAGATATTGTCTTCAAGATAACTGGTTCTTATGATGTAGTAACTGACGGGAATTGTATAGGCTCGATATAATGGTCTTGGTGATACTGCAAGGCATCTTGTCTCTCCTTGCCGGGCGCAGTTCTTTCTTTTTCGACACGTTCCAACAGGTTTACCAGTTCCTCAATATCTCGTTTGACACCAATCCTCTCAGATTTGATGCTATTCTCTTTATTCAATCCTCTGAGGAATTGGTTTGGTTGACTAATATAATAAGTTTATATTAATAACATACTAGACATTGTTCATTAAATTATATAACCCGATGTAAAATGAGCTAGGCTTCCCTATCATTTAAGAAAATATGCATCTATTGTTTCTGTATTAGCCATAGGCATACAATAACAGGGATTTCAATATTTTATGTATAAACTACACTACGCGGCTTTTAAAATCTTAATTTTGACCATATGCTATCGCATCACATAATGCCAGCTGAGGCATAGTTAATTCGGTGGAGATATATGTCGTCATAACATGTATAGCTTCCAAAATTTTTAATCTGAAGTTTTTGATTCATAACAGATAAATTTTAATTCTTACAAAAAATAATCTAACTATCTTTAAGCGTTTATAAAAGGATTTTTTTTTCAAAAACATTTGCCGATTTGGCTCAATTCACTAATTTAAAATTTCGTGATAAGTATGAATTTTGATCTCATGCCGATTAAAATGTGATAATATTATGTAATGCACATGACGTTTTATATTTAAACCAATAATCGAAGGGATCGAACTTAAAATTGCAAGTTCGAAACAAGTTGCGAATTGGTTTCGAAGCATGTAATCCGAATGAGCCGAGTGACAAGACCAATAAGTTGACTAGCAAATCGTCACCCATCAAGCCGATTCTCAAATCTACAACTGTCAAGTCGACAAGCAAGAAGCAAACAAGTCGATTAGCAAGCCGACCAAGAAGAAGAGACCCGACGAGGAGGTTCGAATTGTTTTTTTCTAATCTTCTAATATTTAAAATCACTGCAATCACGTGGGCGTTACGTTTAGACTAACCACATAAATAACAATTTACAATTGTGTGACTGCAGTGTTCAGTGTTGTAACGCAAATGACGCAAAACTGCAAAAGTATCAATCTTGATATTTACATGATAGGCACGCGTCAAAAAGAAAAATATATATATACAGTAAAACAGTATTTGTTTTTTTTTTTTTGTTTTTTCATAAAGAAAAAGAAGAAAGGGAAAGAAGAAAAAAAACAAAAGAAGAAAATATAAAAAAAGCAAAAAAGAAAGAAGCAAAAAAAAAGAAGTTAGAACAAAGTTAAAGAAAGAAAATAGAGAACAAAGGAACGAAAAAAAGAACCCACCTATATGGAACCGAAATGCCAAAGCGCCGAAGTTGCCGAAGAAGAGGAAATGAAGTTAGCACAAAGTTAAAGAACGAAAAAAGAGAAAGAACGAAAAAAAGAACGGAGCCAAAATGTTAAAGCGCCGAAGTTGCCAAAGAGCTGGGACCTAAGAGGAAAGAAGAGTTAGAACGATAGAAAGAATGAAAAAAAAAGACAAAAAGAGAAAAAAAATGAAAAACGTACCTTATAACCGAAGAGCCGAAATGCCGAAGAGCCAGGATCTAAGAGGAAAGAAGAGTTAGAACGATAGAACGAAGTTGCCGAAGAGCCGGGACCTATTGAGCAAAACATAAAAAACAAAAATAAAAGCCCTTGTAAATTATATAATTTTTGCTTTTCTTAATTTTTTTGAGATGTTAAATGAGTTTATATTAATTGGAAATTTTTTACATTATAGCTCCCCGTTATCCTTATGTATTTGCATTTGAACCATCTGTTATTGAAATGCGTCATATGAAAAGAATAGTCAGAACGAACGAAAAAAAATCCAGACCGCGTAAGCCAGGGCGTAAGTGGACACAGCAGCGGCCTCCGCGTGTACTTTGCTAGCGAAGATGCGTTTGCCTGCATATTGTTAGCAAACTATTAATATAATCAACCATGTCTTCCTCTGTCAAGGATAAGCCAATTTTTTTCGCCGTTTTTTCGCTATGACCAAAGTTAACGTAAATAACATAATCCCACGCAGCGTAAATGTTAACAGTACGATCGCAATGTTTGGGATATGTTAACACAACAGTTAGAAGAGGAGGTGGAAGTGAAGAAACAAATTATACCTACTTTCATACCTCATTCGAACATAATTCCAACAAAGAAGCGATCGAAGAATTTGACGCAAATAATCGGAAGATGGCGACTCGTCTAGCGAAAAAGGATAAAATGAAGAGTGTCAATATGGAGAAGGTGGTGGAAAGACCACAAAAGGTAAAGAAATCGAGGGAAAAAAGTAATAGTATTATCGTTTTTTTAGGGGTTAGTTTTTTTTTTAAGATAGTTTTCGTGTATGTGGGTTTTGCTAAATATCGTAGATAGTAAATTTTTTACAAAAAATGTACGTGATATACCACGATGTTAAATGTAACTAGAAAAATAATCATTACAAATTTTTATTTATTTTGGAGGGGTTAACTTATTGTTAGAGTTCAATAGTATAATGGGGTTAACTGTTAGACTGACTAGAGGAGAAGGACGGTTAACTTTGTTCAGGGTTGCGAAGAATAACAAAGGTTAGGAGATTACATTAATTAAATGTAGTTATGTAACATTTTGTGTAAGTTCTCTTCACCTTATGCAAATAAATTGTAACGTTCTTACCAAAAAAAAAAAAGAATTTTCCAAAACAAATAAATCAAACCAGCAGTTGAATTGGTATTTAAAAACATCAAAGTTCACTTCGAGTTTTTTCAATCTAAATCTGGAAAACGATGGAATTGGACTTCTCTAATGGGTCCAGATAAAAAAATAATGCTAGAAAAAATTTCCAGAATCACAATTTATTCCAGGTATTCGTGGAAAGGATATAGAAAATTTGTGAAAAGAATTTTATCGCTTATATATGATTTTACGTAAAGCACATCTTTCAGATTTAAGAAATTGATCAGTTCGAAATTGATACCCAAAATTGGATCTACATGTTTTGTCACTCATGATCGCATAAATAGTACTACTCAAATTCCTGGAAAAAAGATATTACACCTTATCTGTTATATCCGCCTTATATGCATGTTTTTGCAAAACACATACCCCAATTGTTGCGACAATTAAAAGAAAAAGGTCTCTCTTTTGCAAAAAAAAATCACAATCAGGTCCTATAAAGAAAATTATATTAATTTTTTTATTCGAAAAATTTATTAATTTATATTTTTTTTTTTACTTTTATTGCTACTTTAGATTCATTTATTTTTTGGGGGTACTAATATGGTGGAGGAACTGATGGAAAATCAATAGTATATAAAATTATGTTTTTTTAGAACCACCAATGACCAATTATTTTATTTAAATAATAATATAATAATATTCCTAAAAAAATTGTTGCTAGAATAACTAGAATAATATACATTGAAATAAATAAAAAAATAATTGATGTATGGTAGTTAATCTGATTTGTATTTGAGCATTCACTTGTTTCAGATTTATTTCTAAAATGTAAAAAAATTATAAATTATAAAAAACTTTAACATTTAAACACTAAACAAATTTATTAAGTAATACACACTCTTCCCGAGAATCAACCATAAATGTACAAGTTGTAATCCCACACTTCAAATTTCGCCCATTTTCGTTTAGTTCTAATAGTGACCTAAACAAAAAATCAAAATGGTTAATTTTTTAATTATATTAATTAGAGTAAATAGGTAAATAAAAATGCTTATATACCAATTAAAATAAATACCAATTAAAATTAAGACCATATCCTGTGGTCTTATCCTGCTGAAAATTCCAATATTCGCAATTAAGTATTTGCTTGAGTCTTTCTTCTCCATCCTTCCCTTGGAATTCGCAGTAATATTCTCGCTGTGCCGGACTATATCGAAAAGTAGGTTCATATTCAAATAAATGAACAAAAATAGTTTCCGGCAAAGCATCGATTGAAAGACTCTTGGAACCAATGGAATGCTCAAGCCGCTTTTTAATATGTATTATAAAAGCATTTTGATATTGAATAATGAGCTCAGGAGGGGGTAAGTAAAGGGAATTACGGTGAGGTATAAATTTATTATCATTGTGTTTACTTTTTTCATGTCTTAAAAGTAAACTTATAGAAGAAAACTTTTGATGACAAAGTAAACATTCATAAATAGAGGGGGTGTTCATATTCGTGTTCGACATTTTTTATAAAATTTAAATAATTGATAACGGGTGATTATTAAAAACAAAAACTAGGAAACGAAAAACTATAGGTCCGGACTCCGGGGTGATAAAATTTGTTTCTTGTTTATTACGTATCACAAATTTTATTCTATTTATATTTTTTTGTTTATCGATGTAGCACAAATTTTCAGTGACGTGACGCGTGCGGACAAACGGACTTCACACGTGATCCAGTGATCCAATATGTGTTTAACGTTCATATTCGCTTCGCTCCACTCGCTCCACTCTTCGCTCCGGAGTCCGGACGATAAATATGTGATATGTAGTTTAAAATTAGTAATGATCGATTGTCGATCTTTTTTGCAAAGTGATACTGGAAATGTCACATGCAGATCATTTTCATATTAAAATTAATTTGTGTAACATTAAGCAAATCAAGCAAATCATAGATTATCATGTGTTCTATCAATTTTTATCTTTAATGATATTTTTTTATAACGTACCAAAAACTTACCTTAAAAACGCACTTTTTTCAAGATCCTTTCAAAATATAAAGAAATATGCAATTTTAAAAGTGAAGATATACGTAATTTTATGAGTAGAAAAGTTTTTCTAAGTTCATAATAGGCAGATTTTGCGCAAAATATAAAAAAATCAAAAAAATTACAGTACTTTTAAAAATATACAAAGATTTAAAGTGCAATTTCAACATTTTAGTTCTAAGTATATTTCCCTTGTAAATTAAGTGAATATTGTTCAACAAGGTAGAAACTACCTGAAACTCAAATTTTGTAAGTTTATTAAAAATACTGTATAACTACTTTAATTTTTATAATTAAACTAACTTTAAATTTCGTTTAGCAACTTTAGAGCGTAATTTCAGCACTTTGGCTCTAAGTAAATTGACTTTGTAAATTAAGTGAAAAATGTTCACCAAGGTCGAAACTACATGTAATATAATTTTCATGAATTTTTAATTAATACCTATGGCGTAATTGTTATTATTTGTAACAGTACAGTCAACCTCCTCTAAAAGCATCTCCTATATAAGCACACTCTTCTTTTAAGCACACTTTATTTGGTCACAGATTTTTTATATAATAAATACCTCTTTTATAATCACAATATTAGTTATAAGTATAATCACACTAATTATCAGTCCCATATTATAGTGAACATACAAGAATTTTTCCATTTATAATCACACCATATCACGTGATTTGTACAATTTGTGAAACCTCATATTCTATTTAATTACGCGCTTTTGTACAATTTTCGTAGTTCGTGCAGTTTTGTTTATCTATTAAGTACTTTATTACTATATAATAACGCCTATTTACCCAAAAAAACACAAAAAACTCGTACTACTATCAGTATTGACTTAAAAAAAAAAATTTGCGAATATATGGTGGCAAATCCAAATGTAAGTCAAGGTGCTGTTGCCTCATTTTTTAATACAAAATATTCTGGATTAGATATCCAAAGAACAACTACTAATAAAACGTGAAAGAATCATTAAAAATGGTTAGCAGTACTTTCTATTTCACAAACTGCGCATACATTTTGGCAACGTTCTGTTCAGTTTCCAGAACTTGATATGACTATGCAAATTTAGAATTCACAAGCAGTAGCTAGTGAAGTTCCTTTAACTGATGGAATATTACAACAAAAAAGATTAGAACTTGCTGAAATGTTAAATGTTAAAGACCAATTAAAGTGTGCTAATATATAGATGGGTGTATAGAGGACTCCGAGCAATATATATATAGGTAACAAGAAAGGTCAAAATTTTTATAATAGCTCTACGCAAGGTTTTTATTAATACAAATAAGCAAAATAAACATGTGACTTCACGAATTGCCTAAAAATAAGCAATCCAATCATATGACTTATAAAAAATTTTTTTAGTACGAAAATCATATGATGATCATTTCCAATTGCCATTTTATTGTTTTTTCGTGATAACAATTTAATATTTCTTCATTTTTTCAATAATATCATCCCGACCAAAATATTCATCATAATATTTCTTTTCGTCCCCTACTAACTTTAGCATATTACTATCAATTAAAACTTTTGTTTCTGAAATATGATAAACTATGTTTGATGGTATATGATGCGTTAAAATATTACACCCTTCTTTAACTAAATCACTAAAAACATTAAAATGAATGGGAATATATACATGTAATGAAATATAGGAAATATCATTAATAGTTTCAACTGGTTCATCTGTATAACAATGCTTTCCATATGCTTCAAAATAAACTGATATAACACGCCCTATGCACATTTTATCACCATATCTTACAAACACATAATGTACCTTTACCAACGGAAATTAACGAGTTATGTTTGCATCCTCAATATTTGGAACTTATAAGTTTACAAATAATTATTATAATTAATAACAACAATTTTAATTTTATTTTATGCATTTAACACTCACTTTGGATTGTACTAATATGAGCTTTTCTTTTATTGATCATTTTTTTCTTTCTTGATTTTTCTAATTCTTCAATATGTAATTGCGCAAGTGTAAGAGCCAGATTTTTTCTATTATCTTTCCATCTTTTTTCTCTTTGTGTGACAAATCTCTGTTCTGGATTTTCATTTTTTGTAAAATAAACCACGAAGTGACTTGCTTTATTTGGTTGAATAGAAATATTGTTAGATAAATTTAAATTTAATCCTACAGGCTTAAATCTTCTTTCAAGAGGTTTTGAGCAATATGCTTCATGTAATTTTCTTTGATTAATTAGTGATTCAAAATTCAAATCGTCATTGATAAAATATTTGAATTCATTGTTAACTATTAATTAAAGAATAATCAGTATAATAAAACATTAAATACAGGACTGCTATAATAAAAATTAAATTTTAGAAATAAACTTACCACTATAACCAACATTTAAAATTGACATAACAGTCATTTTATCAAGTAATTGAATTTGAGAATAACAGTCATTAAATATCTATTCATTTTCAAGGTTTTCTTCTAATTGTTCATTAATTTTTTGTATTTCGGAAGAGGCTTTGTTAATTGCTGTAGATAAATCAATTTCACAATCGTCAGATAGTTCACTTTCATCATTGTCATGTAAATTTTCTTCATCATTAATATCAATAAAAATTGTAGGAGTATTGTTATTGATTAATAAGGTAGATGGCTGAATCATTCCAAGAAATTCAGCAAGTTCTCTTGCTAAATGTTGTGAATGATGAAAAGTTTGTGATATTTGTTTATCTGATGGCCAAAGTCAAAGTTTTTGCATTGATAGTTCATCTAAAGAGCCAGAATTATAATCAAAATTATAGCCTACAAGTAAAAAATTTAATACCTAATTTAGTTGGAAATTTTTATATACAATTATTTAGTAAAATATTTTTTAAGTCAAAAATACCTTCACGAACAGATTTTCCTTTTTCAAAATTTAGTTTCTTATTTCTAAGTGCTTTTGTATATTGTGATATTTTTGGTAGCATTTGGATGATTTCTGCAAAGCTAAAATCAGGATTTATTTGTCTTGCTACACCAAAAAAATGCTCACAAGGTTCAGTACCATGCATCCAAGGAATTAAAGGTATTTGAGAATAATATTCAAGATGGGCCTTGACTAATAAAACCATTGATTGACAAAGAGAAGTAAGTATTGAAAATGTTTGGTCAGCCAAAAAATTCTGGTTTATCGTAATAAAATCAGGATATCTTTGTGCAAGCGTCTTAATATGGAATTGCCAAAGGTGTAAGAAGAAAAAACCAGTCATTGCCATTCTTATTCTTTCAATAGGAGTAATATTACGATTAAGATAACTATCTACAATTTCACCTAAATTAGTAGTATAGTATTTGATTAATAAATTAAAATTGTATTTAAATTAATAAATAAAGGAAATTTACTGCTTACCTATCACAAATAGGTATATAAAAAAACCATCCATTTCAGATTGTATTTTATAATCCATGGTCAAGCATTGTTTTAAATTTGAAGAGCAAAATGTTCTATACGCTGCAGCATCATCTTGACAATCTAATTTTATAACATCATTTTTATACATAATTGAATCATGACGTCCAATAAGATTGAGAAAATGAGAATACCGAGCTGATGAATTTCCAAATGTCAATAAACGGGCTCCAGACATTAAAGCATTGCGAGCAGTTTTTTTTGCATGTTTTGGATCCTGTACAAGAATAATAGGACCAACATTATTAAAAATTGGACAACTAAAATGAATATTTAAGCTATTATCACGAATAGAAAGTTGTTCTGGTGTTTGAATTGTAAGTATTTTTTCCTGTGCTTGAAATTCAACAATTGCTCCATCTGATCCAATTGACAAAATATGAAGTTGTAAACGCGGTGCAATTTCTTGAATTAATTTTTTATGTAATATTGAAATGTCATCAGCAGTATCTTTTGATTTGTTAGGAATTAAAGCAATCACAACTGGAGGAAACTTGGGTAGCGGTACCTTAGAATTTAATTTTAAATATATTAGTTTAATAAATGATTTATAATAAAGGCAATAATTTACAAAATAAATATAAACTTACTTGGAGAATGTATGCACGAACATCTTTAGCAATTGCCATTTGATTTTTAATATTATTGATAATTTTTGGAATATCGCCATAGATAATTACTTTTGTTTGATCATTAGGTAAAATTGAACCAACAATGCATCCAAGTTGTGGTGAATATCTTAAACATGATTTTAATTTTGTATTATCTGTCATAGCAGCTATTGGACCATTGTACTTAATAGTATCAATTAAGCGTTTAAATTTCGCAACATTTTCATAGCAAAGATCTGGATTGGTGAGACAATCTTCATCATTACGCCACAAATATCTAAATTAATTAAAATGCAAAATTTAATAAAAATCAATAAATAACTATTAACTATTATTCCATACCTAATAGATTGGATACATCATCCTTCTAGATTTTGGCGAAATAAATCTAAAGCCCTAGTACTAAAACCTCCTAAGATCACTAAGAAGTTAGTAAATTCTTCAGAATATTTAATATTTTGTTTGCCCTTATTTTTGATTTTTTGCTCTGCTGCATCATTCATAACTTCACATAACCCAACAAAAATTGGCTTATAATCAAATGCACCCTGAAGTGCTTTGTCAGCTAAAGTAATCCATATTTTGCTACCATTATTACAATCACTATCATCATTAAGTAAATTCCATATGTCCCGAAGATGATTATTCTTAAGATGTTCTTTTAATGCATTATCCTCCCAGTAATATTTTGGGGTAAACTTAACATTCTCAGGTGATGGGACTCTTTTAGTAATATTTGTACACAGTCTCTTGTCAGATCTTATATAGCAGCACTCATTACAAATATTTCCATGTTCAGCGTAGCCATTACATGTTTTTGAACGAACGGAATTGCCTAAAATTTATAATAAACAATAATTTATTAATAAATGAAAATAATGTATACAAATTTATATTACAATTAACTCACATGATCTATCTATTTGCCATACTGATTCAGCATACAAAGTTCGATTTAATTTTCTTTTTTCTTCAAAATTCAACTTCTTGCGAGAGAAACTTTTACCTAAAAATCTAGGAAACAATTCACATGCTATATTTTCAATGCGTCTTGAGCCGCCAAATTGTGCTGGAGTACGTTTAATATATGAGGATATTTGTTCTGATCGAAGTCCTTTACACATTTGGCGTTTTTTTGAATACTGATCTGTATTTGTTTCATCGTTATCAGTAATAAGAGATGAAATCGAAATATTGTCATCACTATCGCTACTTTCATCTATTTGTAACAAATCATCATCATCCATGTTATCATATATATTAGAATCAAATTCATCTTCCGAACTTTCCATATTTTCAACTTGAACAGGTTTAAAAAAGTTGTAAATTGTCCTTTGACCTTCTTTTGCTTTACAGCCAGAGCTTTTTGCATGACGATTTAAGTAATCTTCTTCATACCGCCTATTAAGTTTGATTGTTTTGCCACAAATACATATAACCTTTTTAGCATTAATAATATGTGCACAATATTCATGTTTTAAAAGTCGTTCTTTACTATATTTCCAAGACGACATGATGTTGAAAGATTATCATTGATCAAATGTTACAATATATTATTTTGTATAGTTGTGTAACAAATATTACAATTTTTAATTAGTACGATGATCTCATTTTTCATAATTTAAATATTGCCAAATTTATCCAAAAAATAAGCAATCGTAACATATGACTTATCGAAAATCCCGTCAAAATTAAGCAAATAAAAAATATGACGTTAGCCACAAATATCGTTGATTTTATGCAGTTATAACCTCTAACTGTGGCCAAAACAGCATGTGGCTAAGCAAACAATATTGTTACCTATATATATATTGCTTGGGGTCCTGTGTATAGATTTAAATTGCACAATGATCTTCAAAAAGTTCATGTTTTAGGGGAAGCTAAAAGTGCTCCACTTGAAAGTCTTTCAAAGAAACGTATATGTTTATGTGTACTTTTAGATAAATATAATGAAGAGGATATCTATAATGCAGATGAGACAGGCCTTTTTTTTCAAATGGAATCAAATCAAACATTTAGTACTGGAGCAGTTTCTGGATGTAAAAAAGTAATACTTTTAATTTTTAATATAAAATGCAATATTTAATTACAATTAAAAATTGATTTTTTATTTATTTTATAAGATAAAAGCTGGGTTTCTATTCTTTTTTGTGCTAAATGCTACAGACTCTCATAAATTTCGTCCTCTTGTAATTGGAAAATCACTTAACTCGCGATGCTTTAAAAATTTTAACAAATCAGCTCTTCTTGTAGTTTATCGTGCTAATTCAAAAGCATAGATGAGATCTGACATTTTAAGGCATTTAGATAATTATTTTCATACATTAGATCAAAAGATTTTACTACTTATTAATAATGCAGGTTTCCATTTTAATCCAAAAAGACTTGAAAAAGATGATGATGAAGAGATGCTAGATAAATGTGATAATGAATAAGAATCAAGTCAAAATCATAGAAAAAAAAAGATAAAAAAGAAAGCATCTGAACTTACAAATATCAAACTTGTTTACCTTTCACCAAATACAACAGCTCATCTCCAACTTATGGATGCAGGTATTATTCATAGTTTTAAAGCTAAATACAAGCAGAAGTTTTGTAAACATTTAATTCATCAATTTGATTCTGGGATAGATTATGTAAAGTAAGTTATTTAACTTATTTTTTTTTATAATAAAATATTAATTAATGTTAATTATTATATTTAGAAACAAGTTAAATATTAAGGAAGCAATTGATTATATTGCTGAAAGGTGGAATAATGTTACTCAAAAAACTATAAAAAATTGTTAGATTAAAACTGGTATACTTTCAACTTATGATGATGATGAAATTGAGAATCTTCTTAATCATTTGCCAGAGTCTGATAATATTATAGAATATTTTCAGATTCTTAATCAGAAATTCCAACTAAAGAAAACCTTACTGATGAAGAAATTGTTAATTTAGCACAAGCTGATAAAGAAAATCAAGAAGTAGATGATGATGATAATGATGATGATGATGAAATACCTGTAATTTCAGTGAAAAAAGCAGCTAATGCACTGGAAACTTTTATTAATTTTTTTGAACAACAAAATGATAATGAATTTAATAATGAAGATTTACACGTTTTTAAAAAATATTTACATGTAGTTAGAGTAAAAGAGTTTAATTCAAAAAGGCAAAGTACTCTTGATTTATTTCTTAATGATTGTAATATAGAATAATTGTTTATCTGTTTTAATGTAATAGGGTAATGCAAGTTTTATTTTTATAGTAATAATAAAATAGAAAGTAGTAACACGCTATTTTCAAAATAAAATGTATAAGTTGTATGTATTTTCTTGCATATGTGATCATATAAGTTAAAATATATATTATAAATATATTGATATTTTATTTAAAATTATAATAAAAAAATTTTTTTATATATAATCACATCAAATCGAAAATTATCTATACATGTAATTATATAAAAAAATTTTAAAATAAGCACACCTCTTTATAATTACACTACTTGCTGGTTCTAAGGGATGTGACTATAAAGGGGGTCAACAGGACCCCGCTTATTTATAATAAAAGTTATTTAGAAAATTGGCCCTTTACTAATAGTTTTTACCTTACTTTTTTCTTAAATTCTATTGGTTAATTAGCTAAAAAGAAAAAAAATCATAACAATATAACATAAAATTTCCTTTTATAGTAGGATCTGTAAAGAATTTTATATATGATTTTTATTTTAGGCCTAAGGGTGACCTGTCTTATAAGTAAGCGGAGTTCTAGATCAACTGTACTAATTTTCGATCTTCAAATTTTTTACACCTGATCAATAACTTCAGAGTGTAATTTTAGCATTTTGGATTTAAGTAAATCAACTTTGTAAATTAAGGGAAAATTATTCAGTATGGTCAAATCTACCCACATATCAATTATCATGAATTTTTGATTAATTCTCATAGCGCAATTAGTGTTTATATTTTATACACCTGATCTGTAACTTCAGAAGTAATTTCAGCACTTAGCTACTAAGTAAATCGCCTTCATAAATTAAGTGATAAATGTTCAGCATAGTCAAATTTACTTATATTTTAAATTACATGAATTTTGATTAATACTCATGACGCAATTGTCATTATTTGTAATAGTACTAATTTTTGATCTTTTATTTTTTATTTTTAATATAAAAATACATTTTAAACTTTAAATAAAGAATAATAAAGAGTATGTGAATATTTTTTTTTAATAAAATTATAAAAGTGGTCAATAAGTTTAAATTTTTTTTATTATATTGTATAAATATGATGTTATATATAATCTAAATTTAGACTGACATTATAAATCTGGCCAGAATTAACAAAAATTTAGCCAGATTTAATTAATTTTGGCCAACTTAATTATACTTAAAGAGGATATTGTACCACAAAATTTTTTTAGTGAAAAAAATTTGCCTTTCCTTTTTTTGTGACATTTCCAGTGACTGTTAGTAATACATTTTTTTTTCTCACGATGATCTCTATATTTTGATTCGACAATTACGCGTTTTATGATTATATGATTAGACGCAGTTCCCATCTCAAATTTTACAAAATCTCCTAGAGAAAATTGTTCAAAAAATTAAATACGAAAATTCATACAAAAAATTCATTCTCATAACTAAGCTATAAATTTCCTTTCCTACATTAAATTCAAACTTTCATTATTCTTTGTAAAAAAAAAAAAAAAAAAAAATTCAAAAAATCAATTTATTAAAAAAATTTCGCGAATATTAATCACGGATCAACAATTTTTTTTTTTATGGAAATTCAGTCGCACAAACATTCATTATTGTCTCGAAATTCTTATTATTCAAATTATTTTACTAATGACTTGCTATTGATAGGAAAAAAATTAATAATTCTTTTAATTAAACGTTCCATCCATTTATATTTTAAATGGATAAACTTTTTTTTTCTTCAATTTCGTTCATATTTTGGTAAAATTATGAAGATTTTGGGCTACACTCTAATTGAATGACATAAACGAAGATTTATCAAAATTTATATTATTATATAAAATTCATTAAAAATAATTGAAAAGAAGTTTGATATAGCTCTCACTTTTAGGTGGTTTATGTGTTAGAAGAATTAAGATTGTTTTATTTGCTTTTTTTTAAACAATTTCAATTTCTAAGAACTTGGGGTGATACTAGACGAAAATGTTAGTGAAAATTATCGACTTATTGATGAAATCTACAGATTTATTCAAAAAATATGTATAAAGTTATCTATTAACAGAAATTCAAAATTTATTTTTTTAATTTTTGCATGCGATTTAAAATTTGTATAATAAAAACTATGTAAAAAAAATTTGATTAGAGGCAAAAAATGGTTAGTCAGACAATCTCTTCAATACTATTATGCAGCCGAGAAAAACCTCGAAAATTCTTTCGTTCCGTGAATTGTGATACAAGTGTATATAATATGCAATTTTTTTTTTATAGATAAATAATCATGTGACAATAAGAATATCTAATTTTAAAGATCAGAAACAAATTCTTTAGGATATAGCAACTAGGCGTGTATAAACAATTACGCAAATAAATATGCAAAGGAGAGATATCATATGCAATTCATTATGATAATAAAGTTCGGATCAAAAAAATAAATATCGTTTATATATTTTTTAAAATCATGCAAACGTATGTGAAACATTACAGGAATTGTGTCGCATCTCGCATAATTTTTACAAATTATTTCTCACACACAAAAAAAAATATGGCATGAAAACCTCTTGAAAAATCCTTTTTTTATACTAGTTCTGAATGATATTTTTTAAAAAAATATGTACATTCAATGAAATGCATATTGGCGATTGGCGTTATTTCAAAAAAAAA